CAGATCCGGCTCCTCTCCATTTCTCCTCTCCATTTTCCCCAAGTTCTAGCTTGGATTGAAGACACATGTCTTAGTTTAGAGTTAATAGTTGAGATCTAATTAATTAAAGTAAAGTCCTAACCATAGTTATTTACTTCCATATATTTGCTTCTTAAATATTTTTACAATCCAACAATTGTAGATTTACATTATATTTTTCCTAAATATATTTAAAAGAATTTCTTTTCTTAATTACTTGAGTAATTTTTTGCTGATTTTTTTTACCTTTTTCCCTAACGTTTTCCATTTCTTAAATAATATTTACCAAATTAAAAATTAAAAATTGTTACCTGACGTTTTTTTCTAAATTTAGGAGTAAAATAAATTTTTAATATATTTAGGGAAAATATAATGAATTGCAAAATTGTGTCCATATTGCTCTATAGACAGTGTAGCTCTCAATACTCTATTAGAATTAATAAAAATGTTTAAATTTATTATAATATTTTTTCAAAATGGTAAATATATTTAGTAAAAGTTTTAAATATGTATGCAGGGCAGTAAAGAAAAGTTTTAAATATATTTAGGAAAAATATACTGGATAGCAAAGATATTTAAGAAACAAATATATGAAAGTAAATAACTATGGTTAGGACTTTGCTTTAATTAATTAGATCTCAACCATTAATTCTAAACTATGACATGTGTCTCCAATCCAAGCTAGAACTTAGGGGAAATGGAGAGAAGTCGGATCCAATTTTTTCCCGCAACGGCTTTTCCCTAACAATAGAAATAGGTTGTTACAACCTCCTAGGTGGGAGAACCAATGAATTCAACCCTAATTTATATTTATTGTTCATCTTACGAAATACTAACCATAATGCAGAAGCTTAAATCTTATTAATGTACGAAAGACAAATCCACTAACATCTATTAAATAGCATTTCCCAAAATCTGAAAGTCATCACATCAAGGATATCTAATCTCCAAATACTAAGTCTAAGAGTATCAGGACACCAAAATAAATGAATAAAATAGTCTGTGTTCGAAAACTAAGGACATCCTGCCATGACCGAGAGAATCCAACACGAGCTCGAATGAATAGCTCACTATGGAAGCTGATATGCTGTTGATCGGCTAGAGCTGAGGGCAAGTCAAAGTCGTTGGTACACTCGCTGCACTCCACAAAAGAAAAACGAAGAAACGACAAGTAGGGATTAGTACAGGGTATCATCGACCGACTCAAAATAGAAATTAATATGCATAAAGTAATAACATGAAATCAACTATAACACTTAACAGGTGGCAAGCAACGAGCAACATGAACAAGTGACAACAACGCTGAAGCAAATACTTAATCAGTCACAATACCAAGACACACATACACGAGGACTCATGCCTCCACACCACGCTCATTTGGGAAATGAGTTCTTTGAGATTGAGTGCATTAAGTTAATTCAATATGTAATGTTACCTGCCGGAATGTGACACCCGATCCAATAATATCGTATCGGAACGAACACCCTATCCAATAATAACGTGTCGGAATGTGACACCGATCCAATAATACCGTGTCGGAATGTGACACGCGATTCAATAATACCGTGTCAGAACGTGACAACCGATCATATTATATCGTGCCGACTCGTGGCACCCGATCCAAATATATTTTTACTTCATTTGTCATTCTTGACAATTTCTTTCCGCTTCCCTCACAATATTTTATTAAGCCTTCTTTATTCGAGACATCACTTTAATAGAACAAGTTCAAGATTATGGATTTCGCGGTCTTGGGATTACAGACCACTCACAACAACACATTAATTATCCAAACCACAACAACCAAGTACATAGAAAACTTCACAATATTACTCAATGACTATCAATCACTATTAAGAGTTTATCTATCACATAGAATAAACCATAGCCTACCTCCACTGAAGAGCCGAAGTCAAGCAAGTTAATTCCCCAATGCTTTTCTTTCCTCAATTCCTCCAAATGTTCCCAATCTATCATATATGCATAACATTTAGGTAAACGAGCTCAATTCTATAATGAAGTTTCAAACATGATTTTCATTAATAGGTCAAATTCCATATTTCTTAAATTTAAGCCTAGGGTTAAATCTTAGCTCCTCCAAATAACATAACTATAATGGTATTTATATAATACAATACACCTAATATTTAGTTATATCTAATAATAGTAGTGTCAAAACTTGATTTTGTAAAACAATTGTAACAATAAAATAGAAGAGGACCCCCAAATTATCATCAATTTACATACAATAACTTGAACAGAAGAAAATCAAACAACCATCCATGCATACGTATAAACCACCTGAGCATCTTTCCAAATTTCAATTTCTCAAATGGAAAAGAAGTTGATCAGTAAACAATGACGACCTTCGGGTCTTATCCCCCACAACTTTTGGTTTCAATTTTTCTAATCAAATTCGTGTGGGTTCAAAAAGAAATAGCAATTCACCTATTTATTCTAACAATATAATAATCTATTTATATACGCAACGATCTAATATTGAAAGCTGAAAAACTTTGCTCGCCTGAAGCGCTCGTTGCAACTTGGTTTTCGTAGCCGATCATCTATTTTCTCTTTCATTCTTCTACAATATTTACAACCCTAATTATTATACATGACTAATTATAAAAGTAGTGGAAGTGGCCCATTACTAATTTTAATGTTATTTTCTTAACCACCAACTAAATTAATTATTAAAATTACCCCACTAGGTATATAATTATAGTTACGAATAGTTCAAAATGCCCATTTAGAATTTACGGGAAGTGTCAAAATAGTTCTAGTACTCAAAATAATCTAACGGGTCGTTACACAATTTTCTGTATATACTTATAGCTTTCTGTTCGTAGTAGCTTTCGTATAGCTGACACTAGATTCTGGGGATTGGTATCTTGTGTTACTTTGCTATTTGGTCACTTTTGGGCCTATTTTCTACATTTTGCACTACAGATATATATGATATGAACCTTTTTCTCTATATTATTCTAGTCTTCCACTTATTATTATTGTTTTTGCATAAACTGTGTCTTCCGCATCTTGTTATTTGAGTTTAGGTTTGTCCACTCGGTGGGTTGTAGTGGACGTCATCATGACCCGATTTTGGGGCATGAAAAGGATATTTGTCTAACCACACAAAATTCAACCTCAGAGGCTATTTATTCACATGTGTAGGTACAACGACATCATGACTATCAATGAAGTAAACAATAGTTGTCACTTCTTCAAATCACGCAGAAATAATGGTCATTCATAAAGCCAATCAAAAGTGTGTATGGTTGAGATCAATGACTCAACATATTTTGCAATTATGTGGTCTTTCTGTGTAAACAAAGATTCCAATAATATTATATAAAAATAATGATTCTTGCATATCTCAATTGAAGGGAAGGATATATCAAAGGAGACCAAACAAAATATATATCACCTTAGCTCTTTTTCACACGTGATCTTCAACAAAATAGTGAGATAGATGTTCAACAGATTCATTCGAGTAATAATATTTCAGTTTTGTTTACTAAGACATTGTCAATGTCAATATTTCAGAAGCTAAGATATAAGACTGGAATTCTCGTCTCCGAGATACTCCCTCCGTCCCTTTTTATATGTCACATTTTTACTTTGCACTTGCATTAAGAAATGATGTAACTTTACCCTTCTACCCTTATATAATGTTTTCTTAAGTCAACTTTATAATAAATGATGAATACATTTTCAAGATTAATTAACTACTCTATCAAGGGTATACTATGCAAAATATGGTAACTTATGCATAAATTTTATAAAATGACAAGTATTGTGGTCCAGCTATTTATAGAAATAAATGACATATAAAAAGGGAAGGAAGGAGTATCAAATAAAGTTTTCATCGAGAGGATTAAAATACGCAAAGTACTCTTTTTCCCTTCATCAAGGTTTTGTCCTACTAGAGTTTCCTGATAAGGTATTTACTGAGGCAACACATAAGACGTATAACAAGATATGTGTACTTTTTTTCTTCACTAGGCTTTTTCCTAGTAAAATTTGATGAGGCACATTTTCTATAAACATCCGAGGAAAAGTGTTATGAAGTCGTTCAATTGTAGATATTTCATTCAATTAACTCCCTAACGTACATGCATCTATTTAATGTATTTCTTAAATATAGTACTGACACATTTTTAAAGGTTGTAAGCGGATGAATTGTTTGTCCTATAAAGGTGTATTCTTCCCCCTTGTGAAAGACACATTTGAAGAGAACTGAAATACTCCCTCCGTTTCACAAAGAGTGACCTGGTTTGACTTGGCACAAAGTTTTAGAAAATAAAAAAGACTTTTCAATCTTGTGGTCCTAAATTAAAGTTATGTCAAATGTACTAAATTGCCCTTCAATCTTGTGGCTTTAAACATGCCACGTGGAAAGCTGATATTAAAATATTACCAAAAAAGGAAAGAGGTCATTCTTTTTTAAACAGACTAAAAAGGAAAGGAGGTCATTCTTTTTTAAACGGAGGGAGTAATACTTTCTACATTCGATTTTCCATATTATTTTCTTCATTTCGTGTTTAGTATTCTTATATTATTCTCTCATTATACAATAAAATAATAATTTTTTGCTCAGTCAAGAAGCTGCTTTATCTTTAGTGATCTCTCATTTGTACCTAGATAGTAAGGTTTTGTCTTGATTTTCTAACCATATTAGCATTATCATAACTGCTTTTGTTATTTTCTACAAGGAAAATATAATTCTCTTCCATATTTGTTATTCCTTTTTTGAGGAAAAGCTTGAAAATCTATAAATTGAATAACTCTCTTCTCATACCAAAAGACCATAATAACATCCAGAATATAGTCATTTAAGAGTTTTGTTTAGGGAGAGATTTTTTTCTCAACACCTTCAATATTTTCTTTATATTGCTTTCTCATATATAGACCGATTGACCAAATTATATAATAGTATTATATTTTTAGTATAAGTTTTTGTTATTTATTTATTCCAAACATTATTTGCAATTGTAAGCTTCAACATGACGCCCTAGTTCTTTGGAACCCAACAATAGGAGTAATCTCTTTCATCTTATTTAGATGTAGATACAAATGTACAACAAGACTGTTTTGTAAGAGTTTGAACCTTTTCTTTGTCCCCATAGAAAATGAGGAGGTAATGAACATTGTCCTCTCCATATTGTACAACTCTTTTGATATATAGATATGACTTCAGACTGAGCCAACATAAGCCAGACTAAACAAAAAGAAGAGTACAAAGGTTTAGATGATGTATTTTCTCTTTCGATGAGGCTTTGGAGATCTGAATTCAGTATCTCCTTCCATCGCCATCAACATCTTGCACTGTTCATGTCTGGATAATGAGGGTTGCCTCTTGTACTCTCATTGCATTACACGGTGTCAATTCCTATTGATGTAGAGTGCAATTCAATATTTTCTCTCATTTTGATAGATGCATGAGGTGCCCACCCTGTTATCATGGAAAAATGAACAATATTTAGAAAATAACTAGTATCATTGACATTGAACTAAGAGATTCATTCTGTTTTCAGAGAGTTGAGGTTGTACCATTGATATCATGAGGGAATGGAAAGAAAAGTAGGTAGCATAAAGAGGCAACCACGCTTCCTGTACAAAAAAAACACTGAGATGTTTAGCTACACTATTTCTCAGAACAGCTTAGTCAGAATCTGATAATTATAAGGCGCGAGCATTGATAGTGTAATGTTTTTTTACACTATTAGTTAATTTGAAGGCCAACTACATGCAATGTCTATAGTGGTTAACCTGCTACATGATACTAATAGTATACTTTTATATTATCAGGTAAACAAGCTAAAATCAATTTGCAAACTTATCAAAGTAGTGAATCCATACAAGTGTTGGATAGGAACGTTGAACCAACCTATAATGGATCCAGTGAATACATCTGTCCAGTGATGCCAATAGTCATCAATTCGAGAAATTCCGACTAATGCAGCAAAGAGTAAAGGAAGCAGAACAATACAGAGTTTTGCAGCATGGCCTCTTCTGTCAAAAGCCTTCACTTTTCCACACAAGTACCATGAGAGGAAAGCAAGGCCAGCAAATGACCCTATATTTTGACAAGCATAAACTTATAAACAAGAAGAAAACAAACAAAAACAAAGAAACTAAGAATAAATGAACACTACTAACATGAGGTATGTCCACTGGGAAAGCTTTTATATCCTTCTTTCACAACTTTAGGGTCTCCATGACAATTAACATCCCCATTAGGTTGAAAGGCCTGCATATGAATTGAAAAAGGTATTTTAATGCAAATTTTGTATTAGAATTGATGTCAAACTTTTCGAGTTAACTGTTATATATGTTATGGCATACTCAGAATAACACACACAATATAAAAGAAGAAAAATGAACACTTATTATATGTTCTTAGACAACACATAGAGAAAATATTGATCTATGATGAAAGCAAGCCAATACAATCTCATGCACTCTCGAACTCTTAGGCCGTGTCTTTTCCAATTACCCCCATTGCCATAAACAGTAAAAGTTGAATTTTTGCGCTTAGCACAGACCTCGATCACATAGTATCGACTTATAGGTTGAATCATAGACCTTTTGAGTTGGATCATATTTTGGACTACATGAAAGAATCTCCGAAGTTCAAGGCATAATATTATGTTAAAGTGTGAAAAAGGAGACACACCTCGATTCCATCCGGGAAGCATCTATAGAAGAAATTTGGGCGTGGACGACCAACAGCATCTTTGATGCTATCGGTGATTACTGCAGTCACTAGAACAGAATACAGGATGCCTAGATTTACAAGCAAAAGGTCATCAATTTCATAGTACTAACTACAATGAAAATCCAAAAAATCAAAAATTGTTTTTTCCTTATAAAACTTCAAATAAAACTCACCCAATATGGCATGATGCAAATCATATACATCCCTCCTGTAGTGATAGTAAATGAGAAACACTGTGCATGGTAGAATTATTGCAAATATCTGTTATAGTGGGAAAATTATCAAAACAAGGATGGGGTAAAACCTCAGAAAATGAATACTCATTTCTACCGCAACAAAAAGAATGTAACAAAGGGTATAACCATTTGGAGGTATGAGAATTATTGAGTTTTAAAGCCATAAAAGCCGTGTCGGGTTCAGGTTTTTCACTCAGGGTGTTCGAAAAATATTGCAATCCCTAAGAATCAAACCCTTGGATGTTAGGGTGCATTTCAAATATCTTGAATCATTGAGCTAATCTTCTGCACATTGTTCAAGGAATTCACAATTTATATATATAGATAATCTACCCTATATACAGTATAATTTTTTACCAAGGGGTTTGAGCGAACGCCTTCCCACCTCTCTAGATACTCCCCTACATAAAAGTAGTAGAGTTTAACTTCAACACACCATTGAATGTGTAGAACTCTTTTATGCTATCACATTACTTAAAGGTAGCTACAAATAAATAGGCCATAATAAACGAAGTTAACTAGTAACTTGAAATATAAGACATGTAACTCGCTATAATAGGTTATAAAAAAAACTATTGAGATATATATAAGTTAAACTCCGAAGTAAATACATACAGGAACGGCCCACATTGGGATGGTGTCGTGTTCCTTGAAAGGAAATTTGAGATCTTCCAACATTTTTGAGTTAGTATAACGATTGAAAGGTTGAATGTAGTTTAAGAATCCATCCATTGCCACAAGCACAAGTAAAATCAACCAGTCACATTTGTGTTTTTTGGCCACCTTAGCCCCATGAGATCTCACCGTGTGCATACCAAATTCTATTTCCGGCATCGTCCCCAATCTTCTGTAACAAAATCTTTAACATGAATAACAAAATTATGAATGAATACGTAGATTTGAATAAAATTCAACAATTGTGTGTTTTAAATAATTTTAAGAATTTTGTTTATTCATGAATAATTGTTGATTCAAACCTTGATATACGCATATAAAATGCAAAATTCAACAAAGAGTCATGAAGATTTAGGATAAAAGAGGGCAATGTATTCCTAGTTTTGGTCCTTTTCGAGGAATACATGCAATTGGGAGAAACAATATTTTGTTGGTGTATTAAGACACTTGTATCTATCATTTTGACCTCTAATAAAAACAATGGGTTATAAACAACTGGAAAATATTGTACACAAAAGTATTGAGCGTCAATGATTTGACAAACCAAAAACATTTCATATACATTTATGGGAAAATATTAAATTACAAAAATCCCAATAATGTGGGTGCTAGTTACATTCTATTTTGAAATTTTTTCAAATTACAATGATTTTGGATTTTTCAGAATTTGCGGATACATTGCTCCTTCGCCCAATACATAGCCAACGATACATAAGTTATGTATAAGATACACTACTATGAACCAGATTCATACTGATTTAGGTTTGAAATAATTGGGGTTAGGTATCAATAATAACATTTGTACCACATACATTGTACCCAAACAAAATTGTAATGTATCTGATAGAAGTGGAGTAATGCATCTAGATGTTAAGAGGGAGATGAAAAAAAAAATGGATTTTTGTAATTCATTCAACTGGTAGAGATACTTAGAGATTATGGGTGTGTTTGGTTTTCCAATTTTCTCTTGTTTGGTTGACTTAAAATATTTTGAAAAATGTTTTCCAAATCAACTTATTTTCCTCAAATTTTTTAAAAATGACTTCCCTTGAAAAAGGCAAGGAAAACATTTTCCAAACCAGCCCCCAGACGCAGTCTCCCACCAAACCAAATAAATTAAAATTTAAAAATTTATTTATTAAAATAATTCAAATTTTAAAAGTTTCAGTATTTTTTCACGTCACTCAACCACTAATCATCCCCCACAATTTTATTTCTTAAAAATTTGTTTTTGAAGTATTTCAAATTTTAAAAATTTCATTTGTTTTACTTCACCCATAAACCGACCACCTTACTAGCCCCCCTATCCCGACCCTCCTACCAGTCGCCTACCACCACCCCCAGCCCCCCGAAAAAAAGAAAATTAAAAATTTGTTCTTGAAAAATATTTTAAATTTTAAACATTTCATTTTTTTACCCTACTACGACCCCTACCACCCCCCCCCCCCTCCCTCAATTTTCTTAACAAAGTTTATTTTGAAAATATTTTTGGGGTATCGCTGTTGGGTCAGGATTAGGTGTCGGGTGTTGGAGGTCATGTCTTGGGTTGAATATCGGGATCGGATTTCAGATCGATTATCGTGGTTGTGTCTAGGTTTGAGTGTTGGGACCGGGGTCAAGGTCAAATCCCAGTTCAAATGTCATGTCTCGAGTGAAAATTCAGGGCCAAATCCTAGGCCAGATCTCAGGGTCGGATTGAGAATCAATCAATGGGGTCGTGTCCTAGTTCGAATGTTGGGATCGGGTCCTGGTTCAGTTATCGAGATTGGTTTCCGATTCAAAAACTATTTTCCTAAAAAATACTTTCTACTCTCTAGCCAAAAATAAAAAATATTTTTTGGAAAATGTTTTTTCATTCGTCAACCAAACACTAAAATATATTTTTACTCACCAACCAAACATTAGAAAATAAGTTAGAAATCAACTTATTTTCCAGAAAACATTTTCCTTCATACCAAACACATTCTATGTTATATTAAGTCGTGTAATTATGTAACTTTCCCAATATTAAAATGTAATTTAACTACTTCTTTATTAAAACTTTCTATATCACTACTCTACTAAAAGTAAGGAAAAACTACACAAAATGGACCCACTTGGGAAATTATTTAACAAAAATGGACGCAACCCAATCTATTATGAGAAAATTTTCAAAATGTCAATATTTTAGCATTTAATAGGACCCCTTAGCCACACTTTCAATATTTATTAAAAAATTCAAAATTGTAGTTTTTTATTTATCTTATTTATGTTGTTATTATTTGTTTTAATTGAAAGAATACAATTGTTTAATAACAGAAAGAAGAAATTTAGGGGAGAAAATATTTTTAAAAAGTAGCATATCACTTAAAATTCTCATCAGTTACAAAATAAAAAATAAACCACAGAGCAGCGTCCACATAATTTCATTATCAATTTTTAAAAGGAACATATTGATCTGATTAGTCTTTAATGATGTGTAGAATATAACAACCAAAGTATATAATTATGAAGACTAATTAATTTATAAGAAATACAAAGTTGTAAAGTGAAATACATTAAATACAAACCATGTTGGTATACCATTTGGCACACAAATTTTAAAAGAACTGGAATTTTTTTCTTTTTTGGTATATAAAGTGAAAATACAAGATGAGCAAAACGATATATAAAAACTGTTCATGTATAATTGAGAAAACTTTCAAAATGTCAATATAGATAGAATGAATACAAAAATAAACTAAAAATATGGTAATTTAGGTCTTATATTATGAATTCAAATTTTAATTAAATTGTGTTAGAAAATAATGGTGTTAAATCAAATTGTATACATATTTTTAAAGTTGTATGATTTTGAAATTAAATTCCAAGATAATCAAATACATTGAATACAAACCTTGTTGGTATACCATTTGGCACACAAATTTTTAAATAACTGGAAATATTTTTGGCATATAAAGTGAAACCTAAATACAAGATGAGCAAAATGAAATACAAAAAAAACTGTTGATGAATATAGATGGAATGAATACAAAAATAGATTACAATTTGGTAATTTAGGTCTTAGATTATGAATTCAAATTCTAATTAAATTGTATAGGAATAATCGTGTCAACTCAAATTTTATCCGTATTTGAAACAACACTAACGAATCCGCCTTGTTTTAGTTTATTTCAAACCATAACCATTTATAATTAGTACTCTATGAAGAGATACAAAATATGCAATTAATGAAATACAATAATATATGTCAAACCTTTTTAATGATAAATCAAAACTTCATAAGATTAAAACGACGACTTTGCAGAATAAACTACTACAAAAAGATAAATGTATATTATACAAAATAGTTTAGAATCAAGCAAGATTAACCAAACTACAAATAAACCATTATTGTATTTCAAATTGTTTCAATATCATCGCAAACTATGTGAGGCCTGTTTATGCCTCAGAGGTGCCTCACTATCACTAATGACTCCAGCATCAAGCTCTTGGTTATGCTGCCTATAATAAAATACAAAATGAAATAAATAAACAATTCAGAATGAAAACAAGGTTAAATCTATAAATACAAATTCAACAAAGATGTAAACTGAATTTGATATTGAATACCAAAATACAACATATCACTTAAATTCAGAATACATAATATAACAGAAAACTCAATTTATGTAATTAATACAAAAGTGTAACTTCCCACTTAGATTCAGAATACAATAAAAAAAATAACCACCCAGATTCTCTAAACAATACAAAATACAACAAACCAAAAATATTCAGAATACAAAATACGACATACCAGACAGATTCAGAATACAAAATACACCAGATCACTCAATTTCTTTAATGAATATAAATGTGTAACTACCCAATCAGATTCAGAATACAATAAACAATGGACACTCAGATTATGTAATGAATACCAAATACAACATAACAAAAAGATTCAGAATACAAAAAAACATCAGGCCACTCAAAAAATTGTAATGAATACAAAAATTAAGAAACCTCTTAGAAGATTCAGAATACAAAAGGATGGAAACACCAACTCTTCGACCGTCTTCTTTCGTCATTTTAGCAGTGGATCCTACATTATCCGCTATTTCTTGAATAATACATAGATTAAAGGATGGAAAATCGCTAGAATTTTTTTGATTAAGTTGGATACCTCTTGTAAACCTCTTAGATTCGGCCATTAGAGAGTGATTTTGTGGTTTTCAAGCCCTAAACGAAATTGGTCAATTTAATACTCAACTACAAACATTTTTAAAAAAAAATTAAACAAAAATAAAATCAGTAAACAAACCTAAAAATAGGATAAAGATGCATACTTTAATCAAAGGGATTGTTGTGAATATCTTTAAAGATATATTTTCCAATTTCTGAAGAAAAAAAAATGAAAATAACGGAAGAGAGAAAAGCGAAAATTTAAAGATGAAGAAGAATTTGAACTTGAAGAGAGAAATCAGTGAGAGAGAAAATATTTTTTTTTAAAAAACGTATGAGAGAGAATGAGTTGGAAAACGTGTAATTAAGGTGAGATAAAATAGGAACTAAATTAGGATACACAATATTTTATAAAATATTGACATTTTGATATTTTTACTAATATTTATAAAATATGGATATTTTTAATAATTATGTTAGAATTTTTTACTTGTTTAATAATTTATCCATCTATTTAGGCTTAATGGACCGGCGACCCAACCAATTTAAATGCTTACCCCACTTTCTCCTTTCTTATTTCGCACATGATGTCAACATGGCATCAACATCACTACTATGAATTAATCCTTTGTGACACTTTGTTGGTATATTAATACCATATCGATATCATATAGGAGTGAGCTTAATCCTCTGTGATACTCCGTCGGTATATTGATACTCTATCGGTATCATATAGGACCACTAATGAAGACATATCATCGAGAATGCTACACATACTGGTTCGTACCTCAGTATTTCTTAGTGTAACTACCAAGGTCAAATTACCAAATGTTTGTTGTTGCTTGAGTTGGAGTGTCACGAACCAGACCGTCGTGATTGAAACCCACACTAACCCTCCGGTGGGAGAACCATTGCTACAACCCAACTAAGCAACTCAACAATAAACTAAACATTTAAAGATACGGAAGCAGGTTTAAATGCAGAAATTATATAGAGTTCTCATAAACTCCAAAGGTTTTAACAAATAACTAACCAAACTAATGCAAAAGTTTAACCCTTAGAACCTGAAAGTCATTGTACCAAAACATCTAAATTCAACAAGTTTAATAAAATGGGTACAACCCAAAATTAAGCATAAGAAACATCTAAACAATAGTATGAGTCCGAAGAGAATGGACTAAACAAAAATGAAGGATTTCGTGGCAGCCTAAAAGAACTGGTTCACCCTTGAAATCTAATCTCGATCACTGATCTCCTAGATGAGGTCTATCAATA